AATCTCAGGCAGACTTTACTTCAGAAACCTGAAGTTTCTTTACTACTCAGGCAAACTTTACTTCAGAAGACCCTGATTAAAATTTTAGTTCAAAGCCTTTTACCTGGCCTGCCACATCTTTCGAAACTTCTTATTTCTTCATCCTCATCCTTAGCCACTCATGGCCTGCCATCCTTCAATCCCAGCAAATATAAAATTTCACTGGTCCCTCAGTTTCGACTACATGGCACTCAGCTTTCCCCAACAACTCCAATCCCACTCTCTCCACCCTCCCCCCCAACACCTTCTTTGTGCTTTTATAGTATCCTGTAGTTAGCTCCATCAGAACAGCTACCATGTTGTTTAGAATATCTATATACCATTCTTCTTTATTAGCCTATCAGCTCCTAAAGAGCAAAAATCTGTGTCTGACGTTTGAATTCTCAGTGAGTATCACCCATCTGGTACTTAGCAGATGATCTTTCTACTAGGACCTTATTTCTGCTAACTTTCCACTCTATCCGAAGCAGGCTCTGCACTGACAGCAGAAAGCCTGAGTGCAGAGAGCCAGATGCGGGGCTCTCACCAACCCCGCAACTCACCAACCATGACACCATGACATGAGCTGAAGTATAAGGCTTAACCAACTGAGCCACCCAGGCTCCCCTTACACTATAAAACTTTTTATAAACACTGTTTTACTTTTTTCTTAGCTTCATCTTCTGGGATGATCTGGATATTTGGTAGAATTCAAACCCAAGAATAGTTCCTTATTCTCTTTGCAGCCTTCAATTACTGTCCATTTTCTCCTTAAACTACCTTCTATGACTTCACACCACTGTCAGAAATTGACTGCTCCTGTTTCGGATGCCTCATTGCCTTGACTAACTTAACCTACCCACCATCAGAGTGAACACATTCCCTTCCGCACTTTTGGACTGTCTTGCTATTTGTATTAGTAGCTGCCTCAACAAATAATCTTATCCTGTGAAAGTCCCCTATTGGTGCAAGAATTTCTTCAAATTTAATGTCATTGTAGATTAACTAAGCGACAAGTTTCTCCCCTAACCCTTAGGTCTGGTACAGTTGGAATAAAGCAGCCTTTTCTCTCGTCATTTCGGACTCTGGTAAGGGCATACTTGGCGCGGGAGGGGGTGGGGAGGGGAGAGGTCATACCAAAAGGTGTGGTTTTTTTTTCTTATTGTTGTTTATTACCAAGTGGTTTTCAAGCGTCTCTGTTCTCTCCCTAATTCCCTACTTCCCTCTACAACTACATTTTCCAGGAGTCCCTATGGAAAGTAGATGGAAGAGGAAGCCAATATGTGGGGTTGTGGCCTCACATTTTTAAATTTACTTAAAAGGTTATCTGAGGAAATATATACGTATATATTGGTGCCAAAATATGTGTGTAGGTGGGTTGTCACCTTTTTAAGGGCCATTAGGTTCTCCCGTGAAAGAGTGGGGTGGGGGCGGGGGTGGCGTCAAATCTTTTCCTTAAAACAGTACTACTTGGAGTACAACCAACCCCAGTAGCGCGGATGGTATTAGAGGCAGGTTGAACTGAAAGGCAGAAAGCTAAGGAGTCTTTCCTCTCTGTGATCTTGGGCAAGTCACGAAACCTTTGGACTTATTTCTTGTTAAGTGGGAATAACTTTACCGGGTTAATGAAGAAGTAAATGGAATAACCCAAGTAGAAGCACTCTGAAAAACAACCACCCCGGGTTTTGTAACCGGAATGCGGAGCAGTCGCATTCCCAACCGTCGGGGTTATCCCCTTCCGCTAACTCGGAAGTCGCCTCACCAAAAGCCTCCTGCGGCGGCGACTCGTCTCCATGGCAACCGCTCCCTCAACCCGGGCCGGCTCCCAACCCAGCGGCGAGGACCGGAAGCAGCTTCCGACCGGGCGCTTTCCCGGCATCTTCCGGAAAACGCGGGGTCGCTCTTCCCCGTCGGGAGGTGAGAGCCGAGGCCCCCTCTGAACCCCTAGGCTGCATGGAGAGGCGTCCTCACCCGGGGTTTGGGCGGAGGTGGCGCGGACCTCGACGACACCCTGAGACCGCCCTCCCAGCCCGTCCCTCCGCACAACCCCTCTTCACGCCCGCTCCTGTCACCCCCCGGCGTTTCCCTCGGCCCTCAGCCGGTCCTGCACCTCTAGGCCCCCTAGCCGCGCGCCGGGACCCCCCTCCCCTCGTCCTCCCGGTGCAGCC